CTCATTCTCAAAAATTCAATTTCCCTGCCTCCCAAATATCTGACTATTGTCCTTTTTCATGTAATGTCAGGATAAACATAGTATTCATTACAATTATAATTACTTTTTCTTGTAATTATTTGTTTTTTTGTCTGTTTTTCCCATTATTTGTCCATTTGACATGGCTGGTGTCTATTAGGTTCACTTCACCCCTAACAGTGCCTAGTGCATAGTAGGCACTCAAGACATATTTGGTGAATGAAGTATGAGTCTTAGTAATGTGCATAGTTGAGAGGCCACTGAATTTTCAAAGGCTTCAAATTGTGTTTGTGCAGTTTTTCACAGCCTTGCATTAGAAGTCTGATTGATTTCATATCATTTTAAAATTAAACGCCATGTGGTATCACATTTCACAGTTTTTGTGCTATAGTAGAGAGGTGGAGGCCAAAAATTCTGTGTGGCAATACAGATAAGGAAAGAAAAAAAAGCCCTATGTTTGACATAGTAAAGAGAACTGAACTCAAACGGGCCAGTTTTCAATGAAGCAGCTTGTGGTTTTATGACTTCTGGGCATACAGAAATGCTGTCTTAACCCACCAGAAGTTAATCCATCCACAGCGCCTGGGCATATTCATTTTTGGCCAGATTGCTCTGTCTATTAAATTGTACTGATGTAGAGGTAAGTTTTGGCCCACTTTTTTCAAGTAAATGCTACGGGTGGATAGAGGGGACATTTACAAAGTATGCTGAGGCAGCTGGGTGGTATTGCATTACTATCCTAGGACTACTGAGGAGTGGTTATTTTTAGCTTTCACCCGAGTAAACATGACTCAGTTTGTTGACCTGAATCCATCCAGCCCCTTCTTAAATAAACACAGTCTATTAATCCCTAGAACCACACTGGTTTCTAAGTAAGACCTTCACTTCATATTACCTGTTAGTTGACTGTAGCTTCTTCAGAGGCTGCAGGTAATTTCAACTTCTTCATTTCACTCTGTTCCCTTACAATAAAATCCATCACACTTAAAAAAAATTAATGACAAATCAAACTTCTTTTAATTTTAGACACTGTTTTGTAATCCATGTAGTCACAATTTTGGCTACAATTTAATGAAACTACTGTAGGCAACCAGCCTTTAGGTATAAGCTTTATTTTTTAGTTTACTTTGATAGGCTTTCTACATAAAGAAACATCTGGGAGTAGGAAATTGTCTTGAGGTATAAATACATTACTGGGGAAACATTTATTGTCCATTTATGAATATCAGAATTTCTATTTACTTTCTCCAACAATGCGAGTATTTTGCCTTTTGAGCACTACTAGAAACATTGAAAATACTAAATTGTCTTCAGGTTTTTAAGTTATGCAAAGGTTTTTGAGTCCAGAAGACTAATTTATTCAAGTAAAGGAAAATGTTTGTGATTCTCATAGTGTAGCTGGAGATGCATTTGAGGTTTCTCCAAGTTCATTGTCATGACCTTTATGAAAAATATTAGTATTCCTGGGATTTTTTTCTTTATGCAAGAAACACTAGTCTAATGAAAGAATGAAAATGACTCAGGCTGCTACAAAGGCAGGCGTTCACTGTGTCCATTAAAAATGCAGCCTTTGTGCCCGTAAAGTGCTCAGCTTCTCTGTTATTAAGTTTGGAATGTGGTTTTGGAGTTTAGCTGAGGAACTCAGCTAGTTATTTCATTTTGGTCCAAGGGGAGAAAGGCTTGTTTTTCAAAAGGAAAAAAAATGAAAAAAGGTTAGGTTCATTTTGGAAGAATAGAAGTTTCAAAATGTAGTCACTATTTTTTGCCACAAATAGTCAGTTTGAGCATGTTAGCCAAAAATAGAATTCATGACTTTTGTCTCCCTGTTTATTTCTCCAACCACATTAAAAAGCGTTCAGTTAAATGTGCCATTTGGTCTTTTTAATGTCAGTGGGCTATTTAGCTGAGTCAGGATAACCAAAATTTGATTGATTCATATTTCTAATAATAGGCCAGATGTCTGATTGCAGATGAATTAGGTGTAAAATGTCTTTGTGATACAGTTTTGAGTTTTAAAGAAAAACTATCCTTGCATGGATTAGTGGTGACTCCGGGCCGCAGTGTTCAGGATTCTACACTGAAGGACTTTCAGCTAGAGTTTATAGTGCTGGGTTTTCGGGTACTTTTCATTAGGCATTGTCACACTTTCTGCAAACATGTTACTACTCAAAATTTAGGATAGATATTTAGGTGTAGAATAATGTGTATCTGATCCTTAGAGGTAGAGAACATATTAATAATACAAACTTTTGCCTCCTATGTTACTTTCCTCTTGCTTTACATATTTCTCCATTAAATAAGAGATGATTTCTGCTGGTAACAGGTCTGAGAGAACAGTATACTGAATATATTTACAGAATTAAACATATGTAAACCATGCACGTTAAACACAATTTATATAATGTTTTTCATTCACTACTAACTTTAGGAGAACATTTTTATAAATTGATTTAAAAAAAGATACTATGCTGGCAAAATCCATATGAAGAAAGCTATGAAAGAGATGTCAAAATGAAGTCCAGTTAATGGAGAAGCAATCATTGTTCTTGCGTGGGAACACTAAATGTTGGAAAAGGATACTTATTCTGTCCACTTTCATTTATAGACTTAAGGTAATTTCAATGAAAATCCCAGCAATAGGACATACATTTGAAATGGATTGGGGAGAGGGGATTTACTCTGTCAGATATTGATACACACCATCAACATACAGAATTCAAAACAGTGTTGTGTTGGGCCATGACTTGACAGTCCAATACATGAAACAGAACAGATTGTCCAGAAACATCTATTGTTATACATAAGATAAAGTGATGTCATAAGTCAATGAAAGTCTATTCATTAAAGAACAATGTCAATATTAAAAATAATAAAAAATCTAGAACCTCACCTCATCTCTTATATCAAAACAAATTCCAGAAGTTTCAACTATTTAAATATTAAAAAAATAAAATTGTTAAAAATAACTAGAAGTTAATAAAGGAGACTGTTTTTTGAATTTGGAGGTAAAGAAAGTTTCTCTAAGGAAAAAAGCATAGAAAAAAACAAATGAAAAGAGAGATTCTCTATATAATTTGGATCATCTCTATATTAAAATATAGACAGCAGATGCAAATGGTAAGATAAATTAGAAACAAAAAATATCAGGCAAAGAATTATTCTTATAGACAACCTTTACAAACTAAGGGGTGTGTAGGTAAGTTCAATTTGGTATACCATATGATTATTTTGTAACTGCAAGTTGAAAATGTTTAATTATGGAGAAATTATTTATAATATAATAAGTAATATTAGTTTTATACTTTTTATGTTCTCAAACACTATTCTTAGTACTTTTCATGCTAACTTGTTTCTTGTACACAATGACTCAGAGAGGTAGGTACTATTATTATTGCCATTAAAGAGATGATAAAACTAATAATACACAGACCGGTTTAGTAATATCACCCAAAACTTCCCTAGTGTGGCTTAGCAGTGACATGATGAGAATGAGAGGGCCAGGATTTGACATGAGGCAAGTTGGCTCCAGAGCTGGTATTATTTACCACTGTGCTGCTCTGCTTCTCTAAGTGAGTGAGAAGGAAAAGCTACAAAACTATGTATGGCATGATCCCAGTTTGTAAAATTTTTGTTGTTAATATTAGTATGTATTTTAAGGTCATACAATTTAATTCATGTATATGTTTTTATATAATTATACACTCATAGAAAAGAAAGATAGTATTTTGATATTTTCTAATAATGGTTACTTCCCTCTAGCAGTGGGTCGCAACCATCGGAAAACACATATAGCATATCAGATATTTACATTACAATTCATAACAGTAGCAAAATTACAGTTATGAAGTAGCAACGAACATAATTTTATGGTTGGGGGTCACCACAATGTGAGGAACTGTATTAAAGGGTCGCGGCATTAGGAAGGTTAAGAACCACTGCTAGTGGGATTTTGGGTAAATGTTTCAAACTTGAAAATTTCTATATTTTGAAAATTTCTACTGTAATCATGTAATCATTTTGTAATCACAAAATAGTGTTTTTTCAATGTTATATTGTTCAAATCTGATGTTCTCTCTTAAAATGCGTGGATTATATTTTGTACACTTTTGAAGTATCAATGTTTGAGTTCTCATCCTTTGAAAGGTACCACTCTAAGTGGGGACCTGAGGTTAGCTTAGTTCTTTCTCTCAATCAAAAGCAATTTTGGTCCTAGCTGGTTTGGCTCAGTGGATAGAGCCTTGGCCTCCGGACTGTAGGGTCTCGGGTTCAATTCCTGTCAAGGGCACATGCTACGGTTGTGGGCTCAATCCCCAGTAGGGAGTGTGCAGGAGGCAGCAGATCAATGATTCTCTCTCATTTTTGATGTTTCTATATCTCTCTCCCTTTCCCTTCCTCTCTGAAATCAATAACAATATATATTTTTAGAAAAGCAGTTTTGTAAAACTTTAGAGTTAAGAATCTTAGAAACCAGCTATCTTGGTTGAATCTTAGAAACCAACCATCTTGTTTCTTAGATGAGGGTCCTGAAGCCACTATAGATTTAACCAACTTACCCAAGATGAACTGAGAGGAAGTTGTTTAAGCAGGTTTCAGACCCTGGTCTTCTGACTTGAGACACTCGTCTATGAAGCACCAGAGACCTGAGTTCACAGACAGGTGGGAACCTAAGCACTGTGCATTTTTGTGACATTCATTTTAGAGTGAGGAGGTAACTGAACCAAACAGATTACAAATATATTCTTTCAATAAATACCAGTGATTTAAAACACACTGGGTAGGCTCTTGGGGATACTTTAAGACACCTACAGAGGTCAATGAAGGATTCTCACCAAGATTTGGGAGATCCATAGGTATTACTGATCCCAAATTATAGAAGACAGTACAAAAAGAATGGAGAGAAGAAGGTAATAAAAAGAATGTTAGCCAGAAATGAGCACCTCCGTGGATGATTTTTCTAAAATAGGAAAACATTTTCTTTTCAGCTCCAGGACCCACCACGGCAGTGTCCTACATGTCAGTGAAATGTGTGGATGTTCGTAAAAACCATCACAAGACAAAATGGTTCGTGCCTTGGGGACCCAACCACTGCCACAAAATCCGAGACATCGATGAAGCGATTCCAAAGGAAATAGGAGCCAACGACATTGTGTTTTCTGTCCACATTCCTCTCCCCTCCATGGAGATGAGTCCTTGGTTCCAGTTCATGCTGTTTATCCTGCAGCTGGACATTGCATTCAAGCTGAACAACCAAATCAGTAAGTGCACTCTGCTTTTTCCTCTCTGATCTTGGGGAATTTCTCTCTTCAGGTTCTTTCAGAGCTAGTCCTACTCACAGTAAAATGATAATATTAATAGCAGACAGTTATCAATCCACCAGTTTCTACAGGAAGGTCTTTTATTTCATCTTACAGTTAAAAAACTTGGGCACCAGTGAGGTTGCCTAAGGTTTCAGAAGGCTGGAGAGTGGATTCAAATTCAGGCAGCCTGGCTTCACAGCCCTGCCCTACCCACCAAGCTTTGTTAACTCTCCAGGAGGTGGGAAGTGTTCCCTCTTACCTTGGCTGGTCTAATGATTAAATTGACATAAGACATATTAACAGGAGAAAAAAATAATTTCATATGTATGGTAGCCCTAAAGATATGAGACACAAGGGCAAGTTGGAAAATCGAAGCTTAATATGCCACCCTGAGCTGAGGAATGAGAGGCCTAGAGCTCCAAAGGGCAAAAAAATAGGGTAATTCGCAGGATGATGAGAAAGCAGATGTTTGGTAATTAGAAGTTTGCCCTGCCATGCAGGTAAGTCTTTCAGATAAAAAGTTACCTCTGATTAAGCTCTCTTTCTGTGCTAGACCCACTCATTATCTAAGTTATTTTAGGCAGTGAAGAGAGTGGTAAATTTTTTTCTTGAGTCTGCTAGGTCTCAATGGCCTTCAGCCCAAAATAATCCACATGCCCAATGGCCCATTCACCCCTTCACCTCTGTGGTGCCACAAGGGAGCTCATGCCACTGCAATGACTAGAGGATTTCTGAAAGGTCCCATGTTTCAAATGTTTTTCCCCCCACTGGGTTTTGAGTAAAGCCATTGCCTTAGAAAAAAATATCTGTCAAAATGGGAACATCAATCCTTGAGCACCCTTTTTCCCACACAACTGGGTTATATTTTTGAGCTTACTCAGTTGTGATTCAAGACTCTGAGGACATGGGGCATATACACATTTTGGGAGGAAGAGATCATTGGGTGATTTCTGGGAAGGAGAGCCACATGTGGCATCTGGGGATAGTGTAGGGAATCCTAAGTTGAAAAGGAAAAAAGCATTTTTTTACTGACAAGGGATCAGGGGTGAGAGGGAAAAAGAATGTTGAAGATAATTCTGCTTGGGTCCTTCCAATGAATTAAAGCACTTTTTCTAATTGTAATTTTCCTGTATAAGCAATAATCTTAATATACAGTCAAATTAATTTTCTCTGTTTAGAAGTTGAAATAGTGTATCTACCTGATTGACACCTTATCAAAGAAGTTATGCTGAGATACTTTTCCATAAAGTAGACTTTCCCCTTCCCATTCATTTACTCTTTTACCCATTACTTCTAAATGTTTTTGAGTGCTCACTACTGGGAGGCAGTGTACTGATGGCTGGACATGCAGATACAGATGAAGACTATCCTTCAAGTGTAAATGACTAGGAAATAACCAATCATTACAGTATGGTGTAATAGATACTCTGGTTTCTCTTCAGATCGCATAAATCTTTCACCTTTTACAGTATGGTGTGATAGGTGCTGTGACTAAGGTATGCCCAGGAGGCTGAGGAGCATCAAGAAAAGGTTTTAGAGCAAAAAAAGGGAAAGCCGCCTTGGGGTGTGTGTGTGTGTGTGTGTGTGTGTGTGTGTGTGTGATTGTGCGCGCGCAGATATTTGAGGTGAGTGTTAAAGAGTGAAAACCCTGACAAGGAGTTGGGGGTGAGGATGGGGACAAATAGGAGAGCATTATAATTAGAAAGAAAAAGGAAATGTTGATATGAAGGTCTAGATTTGAACAACAGCTGTAAGCATTCAAGTGTTATTTCCCTTGTCCCATTCTCTTGTATATAGACTTATTCATTGGTTTTATAACAAATTTATTTGATCATGCATTCAAACTTTAAGTCCCATGCCTGTGTTAAGCATTGGTACTGAGGATACAAGACTGAACAGAAAATGTGCTTATAAGGGATTAGGGAAGATGGTGGTTGGGAAACAGATACTTAACCTACCAAAGAGAAATATATATGCTATAATGAGAGGAATAGGCAATATTTTGAAATTGTGATTTATAAGAAATAGTTATTAGGTCATTCAGATGACCCAAAAATACTTCTCATATACATTTGGCCTTTGTCTACAGTTCCTGGCTCACAGCCCCCTCCGCCCCCCCAACCCTTGGAATGTTGAGCAATAAAGGCATCAGGGAGCATCTATTGTTGTATTTTGGCTCTTGTTCTTGGATTTTAAAAATGCTTCAGAGTCGTAAAGGTGAAATGTGTGTCTTGTGATTCATAACAAGCCTCTTTCCACCACCACCACCGGGCTTATGTTAATGAGGTGACTTTTAGAAAACAACTAAGGACAGGGGCAGGTTGTCAAGGAAACCAACCATAAATAGAGGAGTGAAACTTTCACTCACACACAAACACACACACCATTTCTAGGGAGGAAAGAGGTTGAAGGTAGAATCAATCTCCAACGGCCAGTGATTTCATCAGCTATGGCTATGTAATGGAGCCTCTACAATCCAAAAGGAGGGCTTTGGAGAGCTTCCAGGTTAGGGAACCGGAACACTTCCATGTGCAGAACCCCAAGTTCCACAAGGATAGAAGCTCCTTTGTTTGGGATCTTGCCCATTGTTTCTTTTAATCTGGCTATTGAGTCATGTCTTTTGTAATAAATCTGTAATCTAGTGAGCTCTGTGAGCTGTTCTAGCAAATTAATTGAACACAATGAGGTGGTCGTGGGAACCTCTGATTTACAGCCAGTCTGTCAGAAGCCACAGGCGACAATCTGGGCTTACGATTGGCATCTGTCGTGGAGGGTAGTTCTTGTGGGACTAAGCCCTTAATCTGTGGAAGCTGCTGCTATCTCCAGGTACTGTCAGAATTGAGTTGAGTGGTAGGATACTTTACTGGTATTCAAGAATTATTCAAGTGTGGAGAACCCCCCTACACACACCCGCATACCCTCTCCACACACACATCCTAATTGGTGGTCAGAACCTATTACTTACATACCTTAATAACTTTACAGATAAATTACTTCCCAGCAAATATTAATCCTAAACATCAAAAATGTCTATGTTGGTGATGCTTTGATAAAATATCCTATATAATAAAAGGGTAATATGCAAATTGACCCTAACAGCAGAACAACTGGGAATGACTGGTCACTATGACACACACTGACCACCAGGGGGCAGATGCTCAATGCAGGAACTGCCCTCTGGTGGTCAGTGCACTCCCACAGGGGAAGCTCTGCTCAGCCACAAGCCAGGCTGCCAGCTGCCAGCACAGCGGTGATGGCAGGACCCTCTCCTGCCTCCTCAGCAGCACTAAGGATGTCCGACTGAAGCTTAGGCCTGATCCCCGCTGGCAAATGGACATCCCCCGAGGGCTCCCGGGCTGCCAGAGGGATGTCTGACTGCCAGCTTAGGCCCGATCCCCCGGGGAGCAGGCCTAAGCCAGCAGGTGGACATCCCCCGAGGGGTCCCAGACTGTGAGAGGGCACAGGCTGGGTTGAGGGACCCCCCTCACCGCCCCCCCAAGTGCACAAATTTTTGTGCACCAGGCCTCTAGTTTCTATATATTAAATGAAGTATGAATGTATGTATTCAGGTTCCAAAATATATTTTATCCTCATGTAGAAAAAGATCTTAGTAAAGGTCTTATTTTTTAAAAAAATCCTTAAATTTCTTGTAACATGAGGTCCTGCACTTAATAAAGGCACACTGAAATATTGACAAGATAGATAACTAAAGGTTCTGTCAGTAGCTGTTTAAAATAGCTGAAATCATAGAACCTCAAGAAAACCAGACTTAAAAAATACTTTTTTTTCTTAAGCAGGAGCAGTGGGTAGGGGCTGTTAAGTTTAATATGAGAGGGTTACATGTTGGGTTTGTGGGAACATTTTTTCCCTTAAATTTATTCTCTATATTTTTGTTTATGGACAATGAAGACACAGATTTAAGAGTGATGGTATGTCTTTGCTCACTGATATAGATATGTACATACATGTATTTTAATTATAATAATATTTATAAGACATGATCGATTTTGCTCTGACTTATATTAGGAATACATGAGACTGCATGTCCACTTCTTATATTTTATCATTGTTTGGATGTATTTCTGACAGCAATAAATGGGGCAGGAGAAAAGAGACTGGGAACATGGTGAACAAGATCCCATTATATGTGGATGACTTCCTATTTATCAAAGATTCAGCTGTAACAATATTACCTCCAATGTAAGGAAAAGTCAGGACCAGTCCTATTTTTTCTTTAAGCTTTCCTAGGCAGTCTATGAAATGAATTTCAAATTCCAAATTAAAAAGAGATTTCTCATTTGGACTATGAAATTAAAGCTGTATTTAAAGGGTCTTTGAATAGGTACAGTAATCTGAGGGCTCTATATTTTAAATGAATTTTAGTTATTTGGGTTAAATGTTTATTTCCTTAAAGCTTTTTAATTTAAGGATTTTGGCTAGGATTTGAGATCTTGATAAACCCTTAGAAACTAGAAAAGTATTAACTTACTATTTAAAAGCTAGTCATTGTTTAATCAATTTTAAGATATTATCAGGCTGATCCTTTAGAGGGAAAATGGTGACATTAAAGGGTAATTCATAGTGATAAAAGTGGTTAAGAGAATATGTATATTATATTTAATTATCGAGAAAGAAGATATCCCACGTATATTATGCAAAAAAGTAATCCACATTTGAAAAAGTAATTTTAAACAGAACCCCTACTTTTCACCTTTTAAGTATAAACATTTTTAACACCTACACTTGTCATTTGATGATAAGTATGAATAGTATTAGCCAGTTCAACTTTTAAATGGTGATAATTTTAAAATAATAGTCTACAAGATCCAGGGAAGAAAGTCCAATTGAAGAAAATCCAGACTTAGAGATACCTAGACATGGGGGTAATTGACCTTTCAGCAAATACCAGTTACAAATTCTGAGCAGACCTATTTGTGGAAATCTATGATTGGGTCAGT